CAACGTGGGAACATTATTGCACAAAATATTACCTCTATATCCGCCATTCATTACCACTAACTGCCCCCAACTATCTCCGCTCAAAGGGAGTGAGTGAAATGCAAGAAATTCAGGATTCAAACAGAGTCCCGTACAGATTTTGACTAGTGATGTATACAAAATCGAAATTTTAAGAAATCTTAACGCTCGTAAATCTTAAAATTGTGAATTCAATTTCAAGAAAAGTGTAAAGCTATTACTTCTTTTATGAGCACAAAATACTTTGTGCTAATCTGCGTAATCAACGCCCACGCTCAAATTCTTTTAATTTTGTTGCTTGTTTTCGCAACTTTTTAAATTGTGTTAATCCAAACAACTAGCAAAATTCTGTTAAAAATTATCAAACAATTAATTGCATGCCTTAATTTTAAGCATGAATGTTATCGATTTTGTTTAAATAGCGTCAAAATTCGAAAAATAATAGAGTTTAAAAATTTAAAATTTTGACGAAAATCCGGTTTTTAGAATTGCCAAAACCGGTTTTCGGTAAAACCGAAAACCGGTTTTTCTCCGGTTTTTCAGGTTTTGAAAAACCGGTGTTGAATCCCCTAGTTATATAGGAAGTCAAGATTTGGCAGATAGGGGTTCCAGTCCCGGGATTTTTCGGGATTTAATTCCCGGGAATTCCCGGGAAACGGGATCCCGAAATCCCGGGATTTTAAGAATTGAAATCCCGGGATTTCGGGATTTTTCAATTTTTCATTCAGGATTGAAAATTCCTTATATTTTGCTTTTAGTAGCGGTTTTACATAATTTTTCGTTATATTAGTGCTAAGAAAAAGTTTCGATGAGCATAACCTGTCAAAATTCATTCTCAACTCCAAGATTAAAGCATCATGGGAATCCAAATTTCTTCATATGTCGTACATATATCTTAATCTTATAGTTCGCAAGTAAATTTGCAATACAAAATGAAACTAAAAATTTTCTAATTTGGATGTCCGATTTAAATTTGAAGGAAGAAATAAACCTAACCCTCGGTATAATTATAGAATCTGAAATCAGTTATGCTCAAAAAAGCTAACATGTTAGAAATATATAATTTCGAATTTTAGTCGAAGGCTGAATGAACGAGGTTGCTCATACATACATATATTTGAACTTGAAATTTGTGAATTGTCCAATTGTAGTTTTTTATAATAGTACACAAATAATAAACGTAAATTTATGTATGCATTTCAGGTCAGGTTAAAATCCTAGCAAATCGTTGATTAGTTATTTAAGTTTTCTGGAATGAAATTTTCAAAATTTTTCTTATCACCTCCCCAAGACAAAGGGCGGAAAATTAGACTATCACATTGCACCGAACTTTTACATTTACAAGCAGACACACCACTATATAATCGCTAATTTGTACTGCCATCATATTTATTTCGAGAAGGCCAGAAAATTCCATATGTTATAATAATACTTATGGATGCACAGATCTCTAAAAAACACAAGTATGCATGTGCATAAGTATTATAAATATGCTTATATGCTGTACTTTTTCGTATACCCAAATTTAACTTATTTCAAGTTATGAGGTAATTTTTGAATTCTGGGAAAAAATCCCGGGATTTCCCGGGATTTTGTACGGCTAAAACCGGGATTCCCGATTCCCGGGATTTAAAAAATCGTCCGGGATTGGAATCCCTATTGGCAGAATTTGTGAGAATTTGCAAGAATTGTATTACTTTTGTAACGTGGAACGTCTTCTGCCCAGCAGTTCCCACAAAATTGCCCAGCATAATTTTAACCATACAGTTCTTTATTTATTTATTTAAGTTCAAAGTCGCAAAAATTTATTTTTAATAAATAATTACTCAAACTAATAATTAATTAGATCACTTTCAATATTAAATAATATTACATGCACTGCACGCTAATTGTTATGCATTGAGTGATGCAATCAATTTCTGCAATAATGCAATTATTTTGAAACAATGGGAAATTAATTGAACAAAAGTACTATTTATGTTCACTTTTAAAGACACGGCGTATTTATCATGTACAAAAAATTTGAGGCATTGGCATGGCTGGCACTTAATTAAGAAATGGGAAAGAATGTGAAGTTCACATTTCTTAAAATATTCACAAAATTCGTTTCCATCTCCATTTTAACGGCATATTCGTCAATTTTTGTGCTATGTGAGAAAGAGAAGGAACAAAATAACGCCACCACTTTAGCGGACCAACCCCCATTAAAAGTCAGTAATTATTGATATTTAGAATTTTTAAAAAGGATGAAATGTGTACTTCATATTTGTAAAAAAACGAAAATCTGAATTTTGAAATCTGAATTTTGAAATCTGAATTTACCAACTTATTTCTATTCCCAATTTAAAAAATACCGACATATTAATTACTTACCATCTATTTTTCAACTAATAGCTGAACTATTTACAAAATGTTAAGCAATGGGAATTAAAAATATATTTATAATTTTTTGAAAAAGTGCGTAACGTCATACTTTTTCAAAAATTTCACACAACAACCGAACATCACTAAATCTTTGGCTAGTTTTTTAAACAATAAATAAGTCAATAATAATAATAATAACATAAAAATGACCTTAAACAATTACATTTAATTTTTTCCAATTTAAGAAATACTTTTTCATTTCGATGATTTTGAATGTCTTGAAACGTCGTAATGTCATTAATCACATTACATTACACAGATAATCCTACGTAGGTTATCAATCAAAACTGGCATCATATATTTAATATGTGTACCGTCAAGCGTAACAAGCTTCGAAAAGAAGCAAGTTTGATATAATAAATAATAATAATAATAATCATGCATCATCCTTGACATTGATGCAACTAAATTGCAAACCAGTACACGCTTTTGGGGGCTGGAATAACGTATTTTAAAGTATTTATAGCACCGACTAATTGGTCGAATTATCTGGGCGGAAATCTGTTCAGAAAAATAAGCGGGTTTAAAGTGTCATGATAAGTGATCTAGTCAACATTAATTGGCTTAACTTACCAATTCATTGAAATCATTTTTCCCTTAAAACACCCTTGAACCCTTGAAATTGGACAAGGTAATAAATCACAGTTTTATTTACAAAGTGGAAAATAACGTCGTAATAAATACATACCTATTTGCTCATATCCGACAAATAAACAGTAATTGCAATCAGTAATTACATCACACCTCCAATTATTGCGGATTCTACATGAAAATAATCTCCCATTTTTCTGCAAAATCAAAGATAATCCTTTCCACAATTTTATAGCTCGTCATGCCGAAACGTTGAAATTTGCACCTGGATTAAATCCTCAATTGCCATTATTTCACCCAAAAAAATGGAGAGATTGAAAGTATAAATGGAAATGATTCAAGTTGACGAGTTGCCTGAACTTTTGATTTCTTGTGGAGTTACTTTTAGCAGTGAATTTTTATCACACAGAGTACAATGGCCAGCAAACTCACAAAGATTGAAAATTATGTGATGTCTTAATGGATTTTGCATTACATGAATAATCTCAAATCATAAACAAGTTGATTGGTGTCTCAAAATTAATAATATAATTTTTTTGTATAAATATTTTTTTTAGAATTAATCAATACAACGATATTTAAAATCTATTATATAATTTTAAAAAGTCCGTCCCGTTAAATTTTCCGTGACATTCCAGCATTCTGATTGGCTGCTGAATTTCTGGCTCGGCCAATCAGAACGCAGTACGATTATGATTTTAAGTATGATTTTGAGCACGATTATGATTTTGAGTATGATTTTGAGTACAATTATGATTTTGAGTATAATAATGATTTTGAGTACAATTATGATTTTGAGTACAATTATGATTTTGAGTACAATTATGATTTTGAGTATGATTTTGAGTACAATTATGATTTTGAGTTTTAAGTACGATTATGATTTCGAGCACGATTATGATTTTGAGTATGATTTTGAGTACAATTATGATTTTGAGTATGATTTTGAGTACAATTATGATTTTGAGTATAATAATGATTTTGAGTACAATTATGATTTTGAGTACGATTATGATTTTGACTACGATTATGATTTTGAGTACGATTATGATTTTGAGTACGATTATGATTTTGATACACATTAAGAGAAGTCGATAAGCAACGTGTAAAACATTACACAGCAACGTTTACAAAATTTCATAGCAACGTTTAAAAAATTCCATAGCACCGTTTAAAAACTTACATAGCAACGTTACAAAAATATCATAGCAATGTTTAAAAAATTGCATAGCAACGTTTAAAAAATTGCATAGCAACGTTTAAAAAATTGCATAGCAACGTGTAAAAAATTTCATAGCAACGTTTAAAAATTGCATAGCAACGTGTAAAAAATTGCATTGCAACGTTTAAAAAATTGCATAGTAACGTTCAAAAATTGCATGGCAACGTTTAAAAAATTGCATAGCAACGGTTAAAAAATTGCATAGTAACGTTTAAAAAATTGATTAGCAACGTTTAAAAAATTGCATGGCAACGTTTAAAAAATTGCATAGCAACGTTTAAAAAATTGCATAGCAACGTTTAAAAACTTGCATGGCAACGTTTAAAAAATTGCATGCCAACGTTTAAAAAATTGCATAGCAACGTTTAAAAAATTGCATGGCAACGTTTAAAAAATTGCATAGCAACGTTTAAAAAATTGATTAGCAACGTTTAAAAAATTGCATAGCAACGTTTAAAAAATTGCATAGCAACGTTTAAAAAATTCAATAGCAACGTTCTAAACATTGCATATAGACTTTCTAAAAATTGCATAGTAAGGTTTAAAAAATTGCCTAGCATAAATTAAAAGTTTACCATTTGAAATGTAATTTGGTTCTGCCCGTCTTCAAGACGGGCTTGTAGGCTAGTTATTTATAATTTACGTTTCTCTAGATAGTCGAATCGTTATGCCAGATTTATATTTTCATAATTCATACAATTTGTAATAAATATAATTAGATGATATTTCTGATTGTATAGTAATGAATTAAAGTAATTTTATTTTCTCTATGCATTGCAAATTCTTATTATAATACCAATTTGTCCCGTCCTGACAATTTTTTTACCTCAGGATATAAAAAATACTCGTCTCGTTTATCCATCACACATTTCCACTCATCCTGAACGGTATTCCTCTGCAATAAAAATTGTTTCGATCCGAAGCTTAAACGATTCTCATTCTCCCTATTCCAAAACTCAGCTCTTGATTTTAACCAATTAATAATTCTTGTAAATTTTTCTCTTTCTTCTTCACTCTCAATAAACGTTTTCAATTTCTGTTTGTTTTCACGGTCATAGACAATTGTGTGCTCATCGCTTGGATCAAAAAGTATGAAAGCGACCCAAATTAAATTCTTATCCTCTATTAGGGAAGAAACCTCTTCCGCATTCGGAGTTCTGGTCGGACCTCCGAAAAAGATAAGTTTCTCCACTTTTAAAAACTGAGGATAACTTTGAAAAAATTCGGGACAGAAAGTACAATTTGAAAATGATAGATTTTTACAAGTAACGCTTGCCAAAGTAGTCACAGACATTCCACCGATCAGTAAATTTTCTAAATTTTGTGGAATTTGTGACATGTCTAAATCTTGCACATTATTCCGGTGAGCTTCATAGTAAAGATTTTTCAAATTTGGAAATCTATTCGGTGGAGTAACCAAATGTTCGAACAGCACGTCGTCAACGTGCCGAATATTTAGTGACGTCAAATGTGACGGAATCAAATTGTGAGGAAGGTTGCAATTATTTAAAATTAAGGATGAGACACTTTCTGTCTGAATGCCCAATTTGACCAAGAGGTCATCAGCCTGTTTCACACTTTGTACCGTGACCTCACCCAGGTCATGGTTCAGAATTACGTTCAATTGGTCACTTAAAGAAATTACGATGTTGATGTCACGCTTCCAAAAATTTGTATACCCATCCTTAGAAAAGAACAAAATGTCGTTTAGCTTATCACACGAAAGACGATCCATATTTCCTACAACTAGATATCTTTCAAAATACTTGAAAACTTTAAGTGAGACAAGGTCCGTCTTTATCTTTGTTTGTGCCGTCCATACTACATTCTCCAGGAAGAGAGATTCCAACAAATTGCAACCCATAAGTTGAAGTGCAATATTTCCAATGGTTGCATTTTTAATGACAATTTCCTTAACTTTTTTATCCTTAAGTTTTTTCGGGGGAGGAAACTGAATCTGGTCTTTAGGTAATTTCCACATGTTTTCCGAATCTCCATCAAAATAATATTGCGAAGGACTGGCTAAATCTAATTTATCGTCTACCTGTTGATATCCTGGGACTGAGAAGGAGGGTACGAAACAGAGGCCATCAGTAATTAGGGTGTCTTCCTTTGCAACTGGATCTTTCTTTCTCAATTCTTTGTGAATTTCATCCAGAGAAATTTGTGATACGGAAAAGGAAAAATTTGGGTGTTTCTGGAGTATATCGAAAGAACGGGAAAATTCTAAATTTGCACAATCCGTCGGAATTTTATACGATTTAAATACAGGTAAGATTGTATCTTGTACGAAATCTTGGATTCCATCAGCACCATCAATCCATTCAAATTCATATAACATTAATTTCTTGAGATTTCTCATTTTTCTCAGACTCCATAACCAATTAAAATTTGGTCTTTGTTTTAAATCATTATTTGAAATTGATAGACTCTCCACGTTAAAATAGTCCAGAAGCATTTCTTCAAATTGTGGCGGAAAGTAACATTGGGTAAATTGTAAGTATTCCAATGTGATTACCGACGGTATTTGACTCACCCAAAGTTCACTTGGGGGTAAAATATTGACAAACGCCAACTTCAAGCTCTTCAATTTCTTTGGTATGTGAATAAATTCAAAAGGTCGTCTACTGTTTGCTGTGATACAAAACTGCTCCCCTTCAAATTCTAATTCTTCCAGATTCTCAAAGCTTTCAAAAAATAGTCCATTTCCTAGTAAATTAACCGTGGTATTTGTCAAAACTAGCTTTCTTAAATGAATTTTTGAAAGTCCATCTAAACTAACTTCCACCGGCGGTAAAATGTAGTTACCATTCCTAATCAAATTTTGTTGCTCCATTAAATCAGCAAGCGTAAATTTAGGATTTAGATTATTAATTTCCACCGTTTTAAACGGTATATTTACTAAGAGCGAGATCAAATTAGAACTTGCTTCCCCATTTATATAAAAATGATCCTTTTCCGGATTAATATTAACGATTAAATCTGTCCCAAATTTTATATCGATGTGCATCCTATTTCTCACGAGGTGATTCATATTGTATGGCCAGGGAATGAAAAACATGACATTTGTTAGCATGAGACGTTTCAAGACGGCATAATTTAACAAACTGTCGCTATAATTTAGCTGGTGAAAGGTAAAGTGTTTCAGGTTCGGGTGAGGATTAAGATCTGGAGCCAAATACCAATCGGGCCCCTTGTTATGATGATCAGCTATTTTGACGGCAGACTTAAAAAACGAGACTTGGTCGGGATTCATATTTTCGCCATGAACGAAAAAATATTCCAAATTTTTAAACGGTTTCACCATTTCCATAATGGAGGATGGGTCCATTTTGACATGACGAAGCACAACTTTTGTAACGAGGAGGGGAATTAGTTTCTTATGGATGGCGATTGGTATTATTTCTGTGGATGTTAGGAATTGTTGAGGAGTGCCGTTAATTTGGAGCTTTTCTGGCGTGTAGTCGTAATAAGGCTGGGGTTTATGCAACTCTATTAGAGAAGGTCCAGCATACATGGAGAATAAATGTGATAGCACAGTTTTAGCGGATGGTCTAAGTTCAGGGTCAGGAGATGTCATTAGGGTGGGCAGTATGGCCTCCTAAAAAATAATGTTATATAATGTTAAATCTTAGTTATATTTATTTACTATTTCATTTACTACAATATAAGTTTAAAGTTGAGGGTACGATCTTACAAGGGAATTAAGAAAGGCATCGCCGCAGATTTTTAATTTTTAAGTGATTGTTGAGGAACTTGAAACGATACTGTATACGATTTTATTAATAAGAGTCTCCACTTTCCCCAAAACCACAAAAAATCCAAAATCTGCGACGAAACTTGTCCCGTTTCCCCTTTAAGATCGCATCCTCAACTATGGGACAGTAATTAACTAAAATTCCTTGTCTCACTTGAGGGGTTAATAGGTGCGGAAACTGTAGCTGGAATTGAACCGGATGCAACGGATAATTTTCTGATTCCATGAGATACGACAAAAATATTCCTGTAGCATCTTCCAAGGTGGAATTACAGGCTGCGTAAATTTCCGTTATAATTACACCCAACGCATAAATGTCGACAGAATCCGTATATTTTCCACCATCCTGCATTTATAAAATATTTAAATACAATCAATGAACAAATTAATTTCCTATCTCATTATCAAAAGGTTTACCATTTCAGGACTTGCATATCCTGAAGTCCCCACATGACTCGTTAACGACCCATAGTCCCCATCACTTTGTATGACAGCCAGACCGAAATCGCAAATTTTTACAACAGTATAACTCCCTTTAGTAAGAAGGACTACATTTTCAGGTTTCAAATCTCTGTGAATTATCTTTTTTTCGTGTAAGTATTCTAATCCTTTGGCAATATCGTGCATAATTACGCATCCGTCTTTCTTTCTCCTCCAGTAAGGAGTGTTTAACCAATAGCGGAGAGATTTCCTGTCTGCATACTCCATTTGAAGGAAAAGGAGACATGATGTAGACTTTGGGGACAGATTTTCATACGAGAAACCAAGGGGTGGTGTCTCAACCCAAAAATCCAAGATTTTTATGATACTGCTATCATCTAATTTTGACAAAATTTCTCCTTCACGTTTCGCTCTGTCAATATTTTCAAGGCTGTAAAAATATAGGGTGATTTTAATATTTTGAAAAAATTGAATTTTAACCATGTTTATAAATACCTGCAAGGAATCACTTTTATGACGGTCGTAATTTCTGATACGTAATCATGTTGTGGATTCTCTCTTGCTAACAGCTCCATTAATGGATTAATTTTTGTATTATTGAATTCAACCATTTTGGGACGCACTTTAAACATAGAGCCGAATGATCCAGTATCGAAGGAAAAATTCGATTCTAAAATTTCAAAATCTGTCTCAAATTTTGACGTAAATCCAGTGTTACTCATTTTGCTATTGCAAATAAAATAAATAATATAGTTTCAAGTTTGGATAATTCACTCTCAAGTGATTCATCAGTGTGAAGTCATGTCAAGTTACAGATTTGTCCTCCGTTGTTTGCTAACATGGATAAATTATTTGTTAACATGCATATGTATTCAGAATTATGTGTAAAACTACTTAGTTTGCAATATAATACACATGTTCAAGATAAGCATGCATATTACTTAAATACAGTGAGATATAAACACATATTCAGTAAAAACATTTCACAGATTTGCATGATCTCATTCTGGAATTCATGTGATTTGGTTTATCCAGAGTTAAAAAATTTCACAATGGAAAATGCATCGCAATTTTATTCTAAATTACTCCAAGAATTCGAAATCCTTCAATGGGATCCAGATAATGAAGGTGCGTTCGGAACTGTGTGCAAAGTTAAGGAACGAGTTAAACAAAATTCTAATCCAACAGTCATTAAAATAATTGAAGCTTGCAAGTAGGTTATGCTTATTTAAATATTGTATTTATTTTTCCGTCAGAATAATTGTGTCCCAAATTACTTTTTTTTAGCAAAACTGATTTCTCCGTAAATTATACAAAAAATCAATTCAACTACACAAAATATGCGAAGCGCGAAATAACAATTTTGGCCAAACTTGACCATCCAAACATACTTAAAATTTTAGAAGGGTGGCAAGAACATGTGCCATGTGGATTTCGTGGATATCCAAAGAAAAAAACACCTGTCAAAGGTGACTTTCCAAATTAATGCGTATTATGCATATACTTACTTAATGACCACATTGCATAATTACATAGGATCGGAAGGGGTTTATATTATCAGAACGGAGTGGTGTGACCAAGGATCGGTTTCCAAGTGGTTGAAAAGTGCGTGGCGTTGTGAGGCTGACGGATATAAAATTGCATACCAAATTGCATCTGGCCTGAACTTTTTACACGAACAGAAAATCATCCACAGAGATTTAAAGCCTGCTAACATTTTGCTGAAAACGGAAGGTGTCAAGGTTCTCGTCGTGAAGATATCAGATTTCGGCCTGGCTACCGAACTCAGAACAAAGATGACGAGTCGGGTGGGGACAAAATCGTATAGAAGTCCGGAATTGGTACGTTTGTCCGTATGAAGAATTTGTTTTTATATAGAAAAGGTTTTTAACTACAGAACAAACATGGTGGAATCAAGTATTCTGCAAAAGCTGACATTTTTTCCTTTGGGGTCATCCTCTTTAAAATTCTGGTTCGCTGTAAATTCGACTCTGAACTGGAGCAAGAATTTTCCTCCATGATGCATGAAGGTGTTAAGGAAGTTAATGATTTAGAAACCTGGAAACAAAAGTGGAAGCTGGCAAGTAAAGTATGACACTAAAAAATCTAATTACATCAGGGTATATTATAATAAGCAAAATGTACAAAAACTTTACCTGAAAAACTCTTTTTTCAGGACTCTGACCTAATCAGTTCCATGATTTCACAAAATCCCGAGAGAAGACCTGCTTGTGCTGAAATAATTTCAAAACTACAGGAAATTCCTGACATAACAAATGGCATCGTTCCCTTCGACACTAAACCGGAACATTTCGTTTACGAAGGGCCTGAGCTCGATTTGAATTGTTTTACTATCAGTAAATGTGAAATTTTAACTTTACTCACGCTTAATAACGTCTCCGTACAAATATCCGAGTTAATGAAATGTCTCGAGAATTGTGTAAATCTAAAATATTTGGATCTTTCAATATCGCAAAGGGAAAGTGGGACGGAGAAGGATTTGGGGAAGGATCTTCCTTACAGACCAGTCAATCTTAAGCATCTCACAAATTTCAAGCTGCATCATCTCAACAAATTATGCAATTCCGATTCACTAACAAATATTACGGAAATTAGTACAGATATTTTACGAAATTTACTATTTTTTGAGAGTAATATTTTCTCTCAAATTATATCTAACAAAATGACAATTTCTTTAAAGTTAAGGGGAGCAAATTTATGCCAGATTGACATAATTGAGGGCAAATTTGTCACATATTGTGAGTCTGCCTTTGATCTATTTGACGATTTACTTTCTGTCCAAAATTTTGAAATAATTCGTACCATGACGCCTTGTAAAGACTTGGAAAGACAGGGAGCAACATGTAGAGATGTCGAACTTTATAAAATGAATCAGAAATCAGTATATTTTGAAGAAGGAAAATTATTTAGCAGTTTCAAATTGCTTGTACGACTTTTTTTAAATGGATGTCCCAAGACTTTACAAACTCTGAATTTTAGTTACTTATCCAATTCCTTAAATATTCTCGTTCTAAAAGGATTTCAAATTAAATTTCCAGAAAAACAACAACCCAAAAAACTAGTACTTTCAATTCTAACTTTGGACGAATGTCTAATTTCAAGAGATTTTGTGGACAAATATGATCAAATTCTAGAAGTGGAGGTGTTAACTATCATCTCCTGTCAATCTGGAGGAGAACATTGCCGCAATTTTGACCTGGTGTGTTCCGTGCTTAAAACAACTTGGGATGTGATTCGATTGAAACCATTTTATTGGAATTGTACGAATAGGGAATTTGGTAAAAGTTTGATAGAAGAGTATTTTAAAGATGTCCCCAGAGGTTGTGAGATGATTGAAATTATTGGAAACAATAATGTAATTTCAGTGGTGAATAAGGAATTTGAGTACGAAAATGAATTCGCTGAATGTACAGCAATGGTGGATGAAAACTTTTAAAAATACATAATTATGTAAATTATCGCCTATGATTCTTCTCTTCAACAAGTTTGGTGAAGAGTATTTTATTTACTAATACATACATGGGTACATAAATGTATGTGTATAAATAATTTAGATGTATGTACACCCTTTTATATTTACAGTTACATTAATTTGGGAGAAATAATTTTAATTTTCAATAAACTAGAAAAAAACATGCAAGTGACCATACAATGTCAAGCGTTCCTTATATGTATGATTTTGTCCCATTTTGTCACGTCATAATAAATCGGAGTCATAATAATTGCATAATTTCTTTATCAATATTACATAATTAGGATGATACGAGTATTTTATGCATACTATTCCAAACAGGTGCAGATGTAATTCTGATATATAAAGTGTTTATTTAATTTAAATTACTTATATTATAAATTTTAACATGACCCAATTGATTTTTTAAATTACCGTTCATTGTTGATCAAGCGAAGTTATTTGCAATTTTGAAAATATTAATTTTTGTATATTTTTGCATAATTAACTACATAGGCCAGATAGATGTTTAAATAAAGAATGATTAAATTATAGTCATGATTCATGAATACATTTAGCGAATTAATTGTGAAGTCGCTTCTCAACGATTTCTCGGCATCCGTAGTATTTCTCCTTAAACAGTCGATTTCCCTCATCGTCCACCATTGCGTTTTCAAGCACGGTCAAAATCTCTATGAAAAACAGAGGGAAATCAATTATCTTTTATTTTGTTCAAATGTAAATTTCGTGAAAATTACGTAAAATAGCGTGCAATACCTTCAAAAACTTTGACAAGTTCAAATGTAAATTTCGTGAAAATTACGTAAAATAGCGTGCAATACCTTCAAAAACTTTGACAAGTTCGTCTGACTTGGTTGCAATCTTTTTCTCCTCAACATACCAGAAAATCCGTTGCAGTCCTCCTCTTCGAATAAATTCCCTAGCGATTTCGACATTTTGGGAAATCTCGTTCTGAATTTCGGACCAAATGCAGACAAGAATTGCAAGATGGTCCAAAGACCCGACGCGGATGTCTTGCCTGGTCCAGTGAAGGTTCTCAAGTTGTTTGACCAAAACCTGAAAATAAAAAATGAAGAATTCGATTAGTATGGAAATTCTAAAAAAATAGATAACCACACCACAAATATTTTTATCAGAATACCTTTATCCGTTCTTTCTGGGCTCGAAGACTAGAGTCCAGGGTTTCTCGCTGCTGTTTCCCGAAAGAAAAGAACTTCATGGCTTCGTTTTCTTTTAAGATGCGATTTATTTTGCAAAATTTGTATTTCTTTTCTTTTTAAAAAATACTCTGGTTTTTGCTCAATATATTTTCAAATCTTTTTCTAGACCACTTAAACTTGCCAGGTAGAAGTAAACCAAATCATTTTTGAAACAAAGGTAAAAATTTGAGAAATAGTGAAAGTTTCTGAAAATTGGTTGGAATTGTGAAACATTGGAAACCAATGGGAAAGTAAAGTAGCTATTGTGATCTACTATTTAGTATTGATGTGGTTGGGAATATAGGAATATTGTATTTTGTATTGCGATCTGTAGGGTAGGCAAGAGAAGAATGACAGTAGTAGAAGTGGCTAGGTTTTTTCGCCAAAGATTTCTCGCCCGCTTTATTTCTTATGGGGAAATCCTTGGCTAGGTTTTCTCGCCAAGGATTTCTCGCCCGCTTTATTTCTTATGGGGAAATCCTTGGCTAGGGCTTCTCGCCAAGGATTTCTCACCCACTTTATTTCTTATGGGAGAAGCCACGGATTTCTCGCCCACTCTATTTCTTATGGAAAAAAAAGACGGATTTCTCGTCCACTCTATTTCTTATGGGAAAAAAAGACGGGTCCTCATCACACACACTTCTTATGAGGAAAAAGAGGGCTCCTCGCCACATACTTTTCCTTACGGGAAAAAATACGGGTCCTCGCCGCCATACATTGCCTTATGAGGGAAAAAGACGGTTAGACTTTGCAAGGTATGTATTACGGTGAGAAGGACGGAAGGTTGCAATTACGAGGCTCAAACCAGACACGTAACTAACAAGTTACAAGAGTATGTGCCCTGGAGGCGAAAGGGTTGCACCTGACAAGGGTTTATGGGGCCGAACATGAGTGAGCGAGAGGGAATGACTCTTGCTACAGCAGTAATAGTTGGGTCGAGTAAAATTTCTACCGACCAACCAAACTACACAGACTTGCTTCTCTTTTCCCAAGTCTCCCAATATCATCATGGAGAAGGGAAAAGGCAACCGTAAAGTGTGTGCAATGTCTTAAATGGACAAGTTGGATGAAAAAAAGGTGGAGTGCAACCTTTTAATGACTAGTAGTGCAACTCCTATTATGGAGGAAGAGCAAATGATGGTGTTCAATGGTGGAAATAATGAACATGGATGCAAAAAATATGCATATGCAAAGTAATTATGGTGGAAATAAAATACAAATTTTTATTTAAAAAACAAACAAATCAAATCCAAATTCAGTTCAACTTCAAAAAATTCAAATTTTTAAGAAGAAATTATGAAAAGTTGTAATGAGCCGGTTCATTTTTATTGATGCAAATCAGCAACATTTGCATGTTTTTTGTTGCTTAGCTCGCTCGGACCGCCGAATAGGGGTAGAAGTTTTCCTCTTTCGTGATCGTGGGGCTGGCGGGGATGACGGTGGGGGTGGCAGAATTGGTAGAATTGGCGAGAGCGGTGGAGATTGTGGTGAGACAGGCCGAGTTGGTGGCGGCGACGACGGAGAGGGAGGTGGAGGTTGCAGAGCCGGTGGAATTGGCGAGAGTGGTGGAGTTTGAGGCGAGAGTGGGCGTGTTGGCGGCGGCGAAGACGGAGATGGCAGTGGGGGTGGTAGAATTGGTGGAGATTGTGGCGAGAGTGCCACCAAAGGTGGATGGGGACGAGAAGCAAGCCGAGGACGAAAGATTTCAACGATGTTATCATTGTTTGCAACTCGCGTGCGAGAACGCACAAAGTCAAGCACTCCTTCAAGAGTACTATCACGAAAAAGGTATTTATTTTCTTCTATATCGAAAATAAGCTGGCCTGCTACATGTTTGCGTTTCATAAACTCTCCCAGCGCTGTCTCGAGATCAGAGCCAAGTCGTTGGCAAGATTCTATTGCCGATACCCACAAGGCCAGCGCTTTCCCCGAATTTCCTCCGCTTTCGAAGTAGGGGAACAAGTGCCCCGATAATGTACCAGCAGGGTGTATAAAGAAAGTTTGCCTTAAGCAGGCTGAAAATGCGTCCGCTATATGGCGAACAAAAGAAAGAGAAGCAGTCCTATTATTGTCAAGCGGGTTATGATACGTTCCCATTCCGTTGTCGCGATTTAAGATTAATAATGCATATTCATCGTGGTCAGAGTCTACAAAATCTACTTCTTGGACGAAGTGCCAATGGAGGAATTCCTCCCGAAAACGGATTAGGACCACAATGATGCGTATCGCATCATTATTGCGAACTTGAATTAGCAAGGAAGGGTCTACACGCATGCAAGAATTATCATTAATGATTACCGCTTTGGAGCCCCATGTTGCAAAAAGACAAAAATGCGGTGGGAGTTTTCGCGTCGCGGCGAAAAAGTCTAACTGGACCCAGTGAAGGTCCAGCCCATCATTGTCCCTGTAGTTCCTATACCATGATGCACTGGTCCGGTACCTTGGGGGGGTTTCCTTCAGCACTAGGCTAATCGATGGAAAACGACGCTGGTAGTGGAAGTCCAACCCACGCCGAATGTTTCGCCCGATGGAGAACCCGTCGGCGCCCTCCAAGATGCCCGCGTTCATGACCGCCTCAAAGAACTGATAATAAAATAATAATAATACGTATGTTATGTATTACATAACTAAAACTCTTAGAACAATACTGATTAATGATTAGTAATTTAAGAGGCTTACAGTCGGTTTGGTACAAGGATTGATCATCCTCGTCACGGTGTTAGACAGACTCGTCATCTGCATCCGTGCAGATGTCATGGCGTTGTAGACGCTTTGGAGCCTGGGACTCAATGCTTCCGATTTTCGCAGTTTCTTCGCCAATTGCATGACATCATCCACTTCAATACTCATGCGCTCGAGAGCGCAAAAGAATTTTGCAGCCTTAAAAAATAAGGCGTAGTCCATGGCGTGGGTGTTGCCAAACGAGGGTGATGAGATGAACATGTTTAAAAGTTTTCGCGAACTTTTAACAACTGAAACTGTAGTTTGAGTAACAAGTGTGATTTGAAGACGAGATGTGACTTGATAAGTAAGAAGCAAAATCGCAACTGAAAGAAATAATCAGTTGGAAGGAGAAAGGAAGACAGGAAACAAAAGGGAAAAGAAAATGCACTCTTTTACAAGAAAGGATCTATTTATGAGTATCATGCTAAGAAGCAATAAAAAAAGACTTGCACTCTTTTCGAGGAAGCAGAAAAGGATTGATTTATTTGAAGGTTTACTCAATAATTTAACAAGAGAGTGACACAGACAGCAGAGTCAAACTTTTGTCAATTGTATTTCTTCCAAGAAATGAGATGAAAAAAAGGTTTGAGCATAGTTATTTTCATCAAACGTTTCCCACGAATGACAAGAAAAGGATCTGGTTGAAAATGACCAGTATTTTCATCAAGATTAGAGAATGCACCTAAAACAAGAAAACGTTCTTCCAAGAAAATGGAAAAATGACCAGTATTTTTATAAATATGAGAAATGCGGTTAAAAATAAACGTTCGCTTGCAGGAAATGAGATGAAAATGTCCAGTAATTCTTAAATGAAACGTTTCCTCAGAATAAAAGTAGCAAAGAGGAGGAAAATAAGTTAGTAGAAAGAGTAACATCGTGCAAACCTGTGGCAAAATGAGAATTTCTGATTTTATAGTTCCAGTGGCTACTGGTTATCATTGCTTATTATGTAGCGAAGCAAATTCTAATTCACTTCGTATCATCAAATACCATATAAAAAATAAACATGTTCAACAATGTGACAACTGCCAAAAAGAAGTTATTCAGCCTCATATCTGCGATAAAATCTGTGCCTTGTGTATGCAAATACATAGTAATTTGTGTGGTATCTGCTCTGGTAATCATTGCCCAAGTGTGTGCCAACTCGTCGGTGAATTAATAAGTGATGAAAAATGCGATTACTGCCAGGAAAGACATGATATTAGTTCATGTTCCAAAGTTGGTGAAGTTATG